TTGGTTCTCTGCTCACGTCGTATTCACTGGTCTCGGCTAGGATGGTGCTGCAGAAGAGGATGTATCACGGCACCAATAAAAACGCGAAACTTTTTCTTTACTGGACAGAATAATGGCTCACAGCGGTCGGAAGCGCGGGGTTTATCGCAAGGCCGCGAAACGGGAAGAACGAGGCAATTGGTACCTCATATCGCTGCCTATGCGATCCAGTGACCAATGTGGCTTCGTGCACTAGGTCCTCGGCTTCCTACCCGGAACTGACAACGGCAGCCCATTCGTGCTTTTGAAAATTTTTTGTCATTATGTTCCTCGTTGCCACAGAAAGGCGGCAACGAGAAACATGGCGATGACGACAAGAAACACGGCGATGACGACAGGCACGAGACTGTTATATTCCGACGCTTGTGTAACCCATAACCCGGAAAAACTCGGTCTTCTCTTTCTGGCCGGCATTTCCCAGGCGTCTGATCAAGATCTGGCCGCATCCTGAAGGGTCGACCAGATTTTCGCCTCTGAACACTCTAACATGACCGCCAGATACGTCTTAGCGATCACCTAAAACGGCTGCTTATCAGATGAATAACGGTCTTGTTCCGGAATTTTTTTTATTACCTTAGCAGAACAGAATTTTTCTGTCTGAAATACGCTGTTAAGTTTCCGTACTTTGGAAGAGAGACAAAGCCAAGAATAGTGGTGCAAAAGTTTAAATTCTGCAGCCCGTCTGGTTGCAGAGTTGAAAAATTGTACAGTTTCAATTTCGCATGTTTCTATGTACGCGAAAGTAGGCGTAAAGCTGGAATTAGATTTTTAAAATGATGCTTGCTTAAGAAACAACTCCTTAAAATTTTAACTTTCTAGCTTTGCCGGTTCCCGATTTGGAAACGTTTCCACCAGTACTTTCAAATGTCGGGACAGAAGACCTAGACTTGTATGGAAACTAAAACAGAATATCCAAGGTTACACATAAGTGTAGAACGTCCTAGTAAAATTTCAACTATCCTGAGCCCGAAAGTTGCAAACAGTTCCCCTCGCGAAGTTTCGCATGTCTGTACGTGAAGTTTAGGCATACATAGAAACTAAATATATTTATATCGCGCACGAGCAGAAAACATCTTTTAATCTCAGCTTTGTTCCTCCTTGATTCTCAAGTTGGCGGTTTGCCAGCCAAAAATTTTACGTATCCGTACATGTGATCTAGACGTATTTAGGGACCGAATTTGAAATTTTTGGATCGCACATGGGCGGAGGAATACTCCCAAAATTTCAGCTTCTTATCTGTTCTGGTTCTCGAGTTAGTAATTTCCCCGCTAAAACGTTTAAATTTTCATGTGTCCGTACATGGGATACGGAGTTCTTATTACTTGTCTGGAGTCACATTTGACCGAAGAACATAGAGGCAAAATTTCAGCATCTAAGCTTGCATAGTTGCTAAGTTGAAACATCTGAACTGACAAAAACACACGCATACAGGTCACGTGTTATCACGGCATACTTTTTTGCTGATCGTTGTAGCGCCGCAAAAACACAAAATTCAGAAATATACAAGTAAACGGGAGATAAATAAGCAGTGACCTTTCCAAAGTATAATGCGTTGAACAAGTTGCCCGCACCATCAAATTAATCGAAAAACATTGGTGTTATTTCTTTATAAACAACAAATAGTTGGCAAGTTTTACTATTCGAGTTTCGAGCGCACT